GTAACAGACGCACGAGCCTACTGCAGGTACTTTTGTGCAACCACCACGAAAAACTATTCCACCTCCAACTCTAGTATGTTCGCGCATGCAGAATAATCTGTCCCTACATGTGCATAGATCAATACACAAACACACACATAGTCTAGAAGTCCGATTTGCGAAATAAAAAAAAAAGGCGGAAGAGGAGAAAACGTTATGGCAATGTCTCCCAAAACACAAAAACAAAACACCCCTGCATGGCACGGAGAGAGTTCGTGAGCGCCCAAGTGGCAAAGAACCTCGCGCTGCTAGTGACTTCATCCTGCTTCTGTCGCGTGCTACCGATCATGTTGAACTCAACATGACTCTGATGTCCATCTGTCGCGTTGGTTTCGCGGAGTTTTTTTGTTGTTGTTGTATGTTTTTCTCCCACCATTGGACTCTGTCGTCTGCCCCTCTGGCCCCTATCCTCCACTTCTACCAGCTAGACGACCCAACCGGGGTCACACAGGAGGGGGGGGTTGGACCCCCTCCTGCGGTTCTTGCCTAAGAAATATTTATCGCGAGAAGGGTACAGAATCCCTTCCCTCGCGACTTATGAAGTCGATCAAGTTTACTAACAACGAGCTTTGCAGTGCGTCGCTTCCAACGGATACCAGGATTTAATAAGCGAGAAAAAACCCACTCTGTCGGGACTCGAACCCATGACCTGGCCCTTAGCAGGCCGCGAGGCTACCCACTGGACCACCGGGGCGACCGACAGTGGAGTGTGCTTCGATGAACAGCATATTTGCCTTGCCAAGAAGGTACGCTGCCTCGCTTAGTCCACGACTCCTCACACTCTTGAAGCGGTCCAAAATGCTATAACTCCGAGTAGGGCGGCGGCGCCATCACTTCCCCACCCCCCGCACCGCCAACTTCTCCAGCCCCATCTACCTACCTCTATTTCTCTTTTTAGTTTAGTGGATTCGAGACGGGTGGGGAAGCCTGCATGTTCTTAGATGCACACTCGTGACAGGTGCGGTGCATTTCGATGCCATCGATAACCTCCACCTCCCCACACATCAGGTGCAGGCGTACACTGCAGCCACCATGGCAAGCATGCCCCTGGGGTGCCCGCAGTTCCACATCCGGCTGTTTGCGCAACTCTCCATCGGCGCACGGCATGTTGCGTGTGTACGTGTCCCGCGGTCTTGTGTCTTTGTGTGTGGAGGAACGCGGGGTCTCCGCAAAAAATGAACCGGTGGTAGCTATTGCCCGCTGACAACAGCCCAATAAGTCGCTATTGAGGATTCAACCGGTTTAGCGACCATGGTGCAGCGGTGTCACGAGATTTGGGGGTCGCTAAACAGGGCATGTCGCTAAACAGGGGGTCGCTGAACCGGGGCCCCCACTGCTGTAATTAAATGCACTTTAGTATTGATTGTGCCATACTTCCTGTACATGGAACCGGGTGAGGGCGACGAAAAGCTTGGATTCTTCCCTAACGGAGAACCTTCTTAAAAAAAACCCATCAACTGCCCTTGCACTCCTCACGTAGAGGGAGACGGAGGCGTTGCAAAGGTAATCCTCAACGACGAGTCGCGACTATTGCTGTAGTCTAGTCTACAGGAGGGATCGGTAGACTAACGTAGCAATACCTTGATGTGGCATCCACCGCACTCTCTCCCCCTGAGCTCTTTTCGCCTTTCCCTTTCACCGACGGTGCTGGTTGTTCCTTTCCAACCATCGAGGGGCTGCTTTCTTCTCTGGCGCGCTTCATGGTACGTACGGTCGTTGTGTACACTTGTGCAGATAGCAGGCAGCAGGAAGGCAGTTGGCACGACAAGTGGCGAGAAAGGGGCCCCGTGTCGAAAAAACGAAAGTAGACCCCTCTTATCAATGATCCAGGTTTTACCCCCCCCTGGACTTCGAGAGAGCGAACAGCATAACATAGTAGATAGCGCAGGCCAAGACGCAAGGTAGCAGGAGCCAAGAACCAAGACGCAACTGCCACTCACCGAGAGGAAAGAAGGGTTGGCTGCGAAGCACAGCGAGCGGAAGCCGCGCACGGAGATTGGTTTGATTGGGCGAGGTGTCTCGAGAGGGATAAAGCTTGCTGGAACAAGATGAGCAGCACCGGAGCAGGGGTGAGAGTCCTGTGCGTGTTAAAGGCAACCAAAGCAGATCACAACAGCCACACGGCTGTTGCTGTTCGTGCACCGCAACCATATAAAACCACCAACATGTTGCCTTGTTTTGCAGCATTTGTTATCGCGAGTATTGGTTGCTGTTCCCGTTTGACGCGGAGACGCGGAACGTGGACTCCCTCCCGTCTTACGGGCGTATCCATGACACGGAGGATGGATGCTACACGAGCTTCTTGCCGTCGACGTCTTCCAATGTCTGTAGAGAAGACCGTGTTCCTCTCTCGTGTTCTTTTGAGCCGTGGTCGAGGAACCCCGACTGTCGCTTGTGTTGCCGGATCATACTCTTGGAAGGACTCTGTCTCTCTTGGGTGAAGCAAACGCGGCGGCTCTTCGGAGATCCTGTGTTTCTTTGCCCTTCCACCGACGACATCCAGCTTGCAGCTTTCAAAGGCTTGCGAACTACTGGAGTGCCTTGTACTGCACCCTAGGTTGGACAGCTGCTGTGTCGTCTGTCCTGTGCAATGCGTCCGCGCCCTTCTCCTTACATTGATCATCAGAGTTGGTTTGATGTGTCGGTGTCATAGAGACACGAGCCTGGGCGTACAGCGGTGTGTCGCCGCGACTTGCACAGCCGCGAATTCAAAAACCACACGGAGTTTGACCTCGCGAGGAACATGGTAGCCGGTCCGAAGTACCTGCTGGCTCGTTCGATACGGTCAGTATCCTCTCTCGTCACCTCTGAAGCATGGAAACTTGTAGACCACGTGGGTACGCTATCCACAAACGAGCGATGGACCAGCCATTGACTCAATACGGATGCTTATGTTTTTCCACATCGTCCTTTGCGCCTCCAGCGAGGTTACAACGTTTGCTCTGGAGGCCGAAGAAGACCTCTTTCCGGCTGTTCAAAAGTCTGCTCGCGCGATTTCCCGAACTACAACTGCTGTGCATGGGGGGCGATTCCACGCTTGACACGTTATTGACCCTTGTTATTCTTCGTTGTGTGTGCGCCACTGCTGCTCCTGCTGCTCCTGCTGCTAATTCCTTCCAAAACATGGGGGGATGGAAAACACGGATGGATGAATCAACTTGGCCGGAACTCGACTGTGCGCGCTCATGTGCCAGTACGACCTGTCGGCGACGACCTTCTCACCAGATGGGAAAATCTTCCAGGTACAATGTGTACTGTTGCTAGATAACCGAGCTGAGGTTGCTCTCTTAAGGTCCTGGCTATTAGATGCATCGTGCCGTACGGTCGTCTCGGTTGCGATGGTTCGCTGTCGTTGTCTGCGGCGTACGGCAGCTCTTGCCGCGGCAGATTTTAATCCTGCTGTACTGACGGCTGGTTTAGTGACTCGACAGGGATAGCACGGCAGCAACACCGGATGAACGGAGGCACCAGCGTGTTACACTGTCCGGTGTGGGTCCTCACTGCCACAGGGACGCAGCAGTGCGAAGAGCGACACTTTTTTTTTTTTCTTGCCAAGTCAACATTGCGGTACGGCGGTACACGGGTCGGAAGTTGGCTCCCTGTCGCAACCCTTGCAATGAGAAGATGCGCAAGCGCATCCGATGAGGATGTGGTAACAGTCATTTCGTGATCGGTCTCTGACTGCGTTCGCTCGGGAAATTGATCACAGGTGGAGTACGCCACGAAAGCGGTAGAGAACTCGGGCACCGCCATGGGAGTGCGCTGTAAGGACGGAGTGCTGCTCGCGGTGGAGAAGCTCCTAATCTCCAAGATGCTCGTGGCGGGATCCAACAGGCGAGCCAGTGACGAAACCGATTTTTTGGTCGTGGGTTTCGTACGAAACGGCCGAATCCTCGGCGTTTGTCTTGACTCTTTCGCGGCTCTCCCGAGTGAAGCGCGCGCAACACAGGTCCCCTACTTCAGTGCAAGCTTGACGCGTTTGCGCCATTTTCCACATGTGCCCTCTGATTGCCATGGCTCCACGTCTTTCTCCACGCTCCTTTTCACCACTCTGTGTCAGAAGCTTTCGCACTGCATGAGAAGAAGCGGTATGTGAATCAAGACCCTCGTCCTACCGAACGTGTATGCACCAATGCCTCGATTGTGTCTCCGCGTTGAGAGTGGTAATATGGCGTCCCCATCATGTTCGTCTCCGAAATTCATTTGGCTCACTACTATGTTGTGCACTTGAACATTAACATTCGTGCCACTCGTGAAACCCTCTGTAGTATACCTCACCTGGACTATTTTGTTTCCCTCTGTTCGATGCTACCCATAGCATCGGCCAAGCACAATTTTCGAGTCAAAGGCTACCTGCTCATGCCGCGTGCGTATCATGCTTACGTCCGATTCATTCGTTCCAATACCGTTGAGCGTCTGTCTTAGACTTATCTCTCAAAGGGGCTCTGTCGGGCTCATCCGTTCATGGTACCCCTCAACATCTCTCTCCATAATCTACCGTTCGATGTATATCTATCTGTCTTCATCATCTACCGCGCACAATCTGTCTTCATCTTACAGTATTTTGTTTTTGTGATACTACAGCAGTATTCCGCGTGCTGTATCCTTGTACAAGGCCCTCCCGCTCTCTGCACCCGCATCCCCTGTAAACGAAGAGAAACGTCATCACCACCAACAAAGTGCGACCGCCATGAAACGTTTGCTGCTGGTACACTCCCCTCACCCTCGAATTCCCTGCCTACTCGAACAACAACCTCGGGGCGTCCCTCACGATCGTCATCGCTGGCGACAAGATAGAGAAGCCAGCGGACGTGGGGCGCGATACCTCGTAGGAGGCAGAATCGGAGGCGAGGGCTTCGCGGGAAACAGAAAGGTGACGACGCCTCGGGAAGCCCATGGGGCGACGCCGAATCGAAGAAGTCGCGCCGAATACTCGAGAGCAGCATGTCCGCCGGCAAGTAGAACGTCTTCACAGTGGGGCACGTGATGCACAAAGGAGACCGAGCTCAGCGATGATATTCTGGGGGTGGGGAAGGGCGCGACTCGACTGTGAACTCCAGTCCCGCTCTTGCCCTCCCCGAACATCATTCCGCGCTCGACCTCCTCTGTCTCATCACATTCCCCACTGCTGTGCAGACGAGCCCTTCTCCTTTGCGGCGGAGATGCTCTCAAGTACTTGGCGTACATCCCTTCGGCGTCGGTCGCCCCTGCCTGACCTTCCCGTAGGTGTCCCTTCTCCGCTTGCCGCGAGGCCATCATCGCCGACGACCCTGCCTCCTCCGTGGCCTCGTGTCTTACCTCAGCTGGCTTCTCGATCTCGTCGTCAGCAGGGATGACGATCGTGAGGGCCGCACGTGCGGTCGAGCGCGTGCGCGGGGGGCTAATAGTCAAACCCGCTCCTTTTCTCGTGCCCTGACGCCGCCTCACCCTATACATGTATGCGTGCAAGTACACCCGCGTGTGTGTCGGGGTCTCTTTGCTCGAATCACGCTCAGCCACGAGTCCTGACTGCTCCGTTCAACTCTTGCCCATGGCATGCTGCCCCGTTTTTGGGGTGCTTAGATGCGCGCACTCACAACAGCTCGGATGCCCCCGCCCACCCGCCCGGCACGGTTGAGTAAACAATTCGCAGATGTAGGCCACACACGAGCTTGTCCCGAGGACGTCTTGTTGCGCCGTGGCGAAAAAAAGAAGTGACCCTTGTCCTTACCGAACACAGCCTTCTCCCACCTGACTCAACATCTTGAAAATATCCTTACTCAAGACTGCCCTCTCCCACCTGACCCGACTCAGCATCTCGAAGATATCCTTACCCAACACTATTTTCTTCACCTGACCCGCCGACTCAGCATCTCGAAATCTCGAAACTATCCTTACCGAACACTGCCTTCGGGTGGCGTGAGTGAGAAAGACGACAACACTAGCATCCGGAAGCAGAATGTCCTAACAGGTAGCAGCTGGCCGTGTTGTCCACTCGTACGTCTACCAATCCCTTTGCTCCTCCTAGCACTGCTGATGCTTGAACGTGATCGGGCGCAATAGGAATGTCCTGCGAGCAGCTGTCTTATCTCAGCACGCAGGCCTCCTCTCCTACAAGCACGCAGACATCCTCTTCGTCATACAATATAAATGCCCCATTTCAGGCTCCTCCCCCCTTTGGTAGGATCCATCTGAAATTCTCGCTTTATTGTATTTTTCCGAAGTGTCATTTTTATTGTTATTTTCCACGAAGTCTGGAAGGTATCTCACTGGCAAATAACGAGGGGGCAACACCGATCGCCTCCCTCTCTCATCCAGCATCCAAGCTTCCCTTTCATGTCAACTGGCCGGGCCTAACAAAATGCCGTCTCAGTATACCGAGACCCTCAGTGGTACTCTACCATCGACATCCACTAACATCTACAACCTTACCCGCCGACTCAGCATCTCGAAAACGATGCAATCACGTACGTGCCAACGCCGCCGCCAACGTATCAAGGCAGACGCGTGCACGGGGGTTTCCAAGCACGTGGGCATGGCCGTGGAAAAGAAAATAACCCGCTCCGTGTCCTTACCGAACACAGCCTTCTCCCACCTAACCCGACTCAGCATCTCGAAAATGACACGATCGTAAATACGCCGTCAACATGTGAACGCAGACGCGTGCATGGAGTTTCAAAGCACGTGGGCATGGCCGTCGCCGGCCTCAGCGCCGACGCCCGGCAGATCGTATATCGCGGCCGCGACGAGGTGGCGGGCTACATCGAGAACTACGGTTCCCAGATGCCGCCGTCCATGCTGGCCGACCGGCTGGCGCAGTATGTGCACTACTTCACCCTCCACGGCTCCCTCCGACCGTTTGGGGCGTCGGTTCTTGTCGCGGGGTGAGTCCGCCTTCGCAGGGAGGGAGAATTGTTTGGGGTGTCGAAGTTGTTTTGTGGCGCCTTTCAGGTCTTGTGGCAGTCTTGTCAAAAGTGGTACAGCACGTGGATTGGTGTGATCCATACAGTGTCGATGGGCCTGGCAGCAGTGGTACCGGCACTAGAAGCGCGCGGCTGCGGGGGTCTGTAGCTTACGGCTTTTCGACTCGAGCGCCTCTCCGGATGTTTTCGACCTTGGCAGGAAAATGTCTCCTCTTCCGCGTCGTGGTTGTCACGACTACGTAGCTGCTCAAAGCGTGTCTCCCGCGTTCCTGACTGTCGTCCTTCATTGCTTGCTTGCAGTTACGACGCGGAGCTGAAGAAGCACGAGCTCTACGTTATCGAGCCGTCTGGGGTCATGTACCGCTACTTCGGGGCGGCCGTCGGGAAGGGGCGGCAGGTGCAGAGAAACAACACCAACACAACAGCAGCATCGTGCCTCCTCGGCTGTCGCTGCAGCGGTACTTTCGGCGGGGTGTTGTTCCACGCCATACGCTTGTTTCACAGGCTAACAGATAGCACCAGTGAAGCGCAAGCAGATAGCACCAATGAAGTGCAGTGTGGCTTACACGTGTGTGTTGTGCTTTTTTTTTTTGTAGTCAAGTTGTCCGAGGTGGTAGCCCGGAGAATCAAACAAGGACGAAGGCCATTCATTACACCTACCCAAAAAATTGTGTGAGCACACCGAGCCATCCAATGCACCAGCTTTTTCTATACCGGCTAGAGGAGATGAGTGTTTTTTTTTTTGTCTTGGTCACCGCCCACCGCGTACAAGGAGGGTTGAACGAAAACCAAGAGAGGACGGCCTAAATCAGCCGAGTCATGGAACATTATCTGTTTTCTTCATCAATGACATACTAATCGAATGCTGCCGTATAACCCCCAACCTCCCGGATTGAAGAATTT